AGGGAATTTGACATGAATAGGAGGCCCGTGAAGGGAATAGAAACCGGGCTGACAAAGAAAAAAGATAAAAGTCCCCCGTATCCCCTTAACAGACTTTTGGAGCACCTAAGAGGGAGTTGGGTGGGAAGAGAAGATCTTGAAATCAGCCGTGGTCTATCCACAGCTCGATCGTCGATGGTACTCATCACGGAGTCTCAGGACTCGCATTTGGATTATGCTCCACGTGGAGATGTTAGCTACCTCGCCTGGCATGCAGGAGGTTGTGGATTTGATCCCGGATCCTACCACCTGTGTGGTGCCACAGCAATGGAGCAACTCTGCCAGCGCTGCTATCCCCTCGCACCCCCCCCCCTCCCCACCACACGAACGCATGCACGCCCCCCACTAAACACACACATGCACCCACGTAGGGTCTCGTGAGGGGTTCACCTGGTACCCTGGGTTTTTACCTGAGGGGCCCCTCGTGGGGACGTCCCACAGTTTCCCAGTGCCAGGAGATTGGCCGACCACCCCACCCCCCACCCCCCCCCCACAGGCCGAATTGCATTACAGCCCCCTTGAATCAGCTTAAAATTGTATGGTCACGACGAGCTCACAGAGCAAACCGCACTGAGAACACATCCAGCACAGGGGAATAGGGCCTTCGGAGAGCAAAACGCCCAGCAAGCAATGCGCGAGAGGAGGTGGGAGGGAAATTCCCGAGCTGGCTAAAGCTAAACCTCAACCGGAGTCCAGGGGGTAGGACGGGCGCGTGGACAATGGAATGGGGCGCCACCGAGAGCGGCACGCCAGGTGGGGGGGGGGGGGGGGGGGGGGGGGGGGGGGGGGGGGGGGGGGCATCGGTTTAAAATCGAAAGGTAGGCGCCAGATTGGCCACGCAGGGTCATGCCACGTGACCCTGGCTCTTACTGGACAAAGGGAGCAGAGAGAGGAAACGTTACTCGGTTATCCTCGAGCGGTTCACCAACCGGTCGGACTCCCAGCCGCTCGCAGCGTCCGAGCGACGCGGGCGAGCACTGCTAAGACTCGACCCCAGGCAGATACCTCTCGGACCCTGGTCCCACCGACTCCTACCGCTTCCGTGAGACACCGTGAGTACGTCCGCGGGGTGAGAAGTAGCGTAAGGGTCCATCTAGGGGCGTTTGAATAGGAATAGGTGGGGCGCTTGCTCGCTGAGAATTTTGCTCCGGGCCACGCAAGGGTTTTTATTCAGGCGCGCCATTAATCAATTTTAGCGCAGAACGCCGACGCCGCGTGATTTCTGTGTGTGTGGGGAGAGCGTAGGTGTGGTGTGAGTACGTGCGTATGCGTGAAGCGCGCGTGTATTCAATCATAAACGATCGCTGACGTCCGCGTGCGTGTTTGCGTGGCGCGTTTTACGCAGTGTGATCACGTAGCGACCATAGCACTCAGCGGTGGAACGCGCGAATATTATCGTCAACCCGGCCGTCGTCCTTGCCCGCGTGCCCTGCACGGGCACGCGCGTGCAAGTAGCCACCTCGGCATTACTAGTGGTGGTGTACGGGGGGAGCGTGTGGGATAACCCGAGGTGGTGGGGAGCCAGCCACTCGCCATGCTTCACAGAGAGGACGCTGGTGCGGAGAGGCCGATCACCCGATCGGCGGCAGCCCGGCGAGAAGGGGCGGAGGAGGAGGGGGGAGAGGAGGAGGGGGGCGTAAGCTCCCACACCTGCTGAATATTTGGAGTCCGCATCCCTCTCACGGCCAACACATGCAACAATTATCTAAACCGGTACTGAGCCTCCCGTAGGTCGACTCAGCTTCAAATGAAGACGAGTAGCGATGCATAAGCATCGCCGCTGGGGAGACAAAGGCAGCCGGGCGTGGTGTTGGACACCCACCCTCCTTGCGTGCCGTTCTGGCCTTCATACTGTAGGTGCTAGCTAACATCACTTCCCCTTAGAGTCTACCTTTATGTTTGTATATGTACGGGTGTGTGTGTTTGTACAGGTGTGTGTGTACTTGCAGGATTGAGTTTACATGCAGGTATGTGTACATGCAGGTGTGAGTGTGTGTACATTCAGGTGTGTCTATATACGTAGGTATGTGTATGTACAGGTGTGTGTATATACAGATGTGTGTATGTACAGGTGTGTGTATGTACAGGTGTGTGTATGTACAGGTATCTGTACATACAGGTGCGTGTGTATGTACAGGTGTGTGTGTACATACAAGTATGATTGCATACGCATGTGTGTGCGACCATGCAGGTGTGAGTCTGTGTATATGCAGGTTTTGGTGTGTATTTTTAGGTATGTGTGTATGTACACACAGGTGTGTGTGTGTATATTTACAGGTGTGTGTGTGTGTATGTTTAGGTGTGTGTGTGTATGTACATGTGTGTATGTGCGTGTGTATGCAGGTGTGTGAATGTACAGATATGTTTGTGTGTGTATGTACAGGTGTATATGTGCGTGTGTATGTCCAGGAGTGTGGGACAGTTGTGGTGAGAGTGGAGAGTTTCCCATACATGGGCAGTAGGCTCATGACCGGCTCCCGTTTGACAGCAGAGTTCTCACTCAATCAGTCGAGCGGCAATATCTTTTCATCGGTTGCGTAACGCTGTGTGGAAGTTACCTGGTCTGTCGCTCCGCACGAAGCTTCAAGTCTCCTCGGCCACGGTTATACCCTCCCTTCTCTACGCTTGCGAAACGTGGACCCCCGTAATGGAGCATCTTCGCCGATTAGAAACATTTAGGCTGGCCTGCCTACAATCCATCCTGGGTTTAACCAGGCTGGATTGTGTGAGGAGCTCACAAATCCTTGAAAGATCTGGGCAAAGTCTCATCGGTGAGCTCCTCCGGCAAGCAAGGCTGCGTTGGCTGGGTCATGTAGCCCGCATACCCAGTAACCCCATGCCTAAACAGCTTTTGTTAGGCCGGATAGAGAGGGCAAAACTGGCGTGGCACGGGCTAGAGAAGAGATGGAGTGATGTGGTACAGGAGGACGTGGAGCTGAGTGGACTTGCCGATGACTCGTACCAGCGGTGTCAAGATCGGCTTCTTTGGAGGAGGCTCCTGAAAGACGCTGCTGGGCAGTTGGAGGCAGTCACCCTCCAACAACAACTAAGGGCGGAGGAGCGACGCTCACAACAACGATCGGAGCGCCGGGTGGCTAAAGCACAGCAAGTTGGCACAATAGGGGGCACAGGTGGTGCATCAGCCAGTCATCTCAGTCAGTCGACCCGTGGTACCTAGGTCTGCCCCGTGACCTCCTGTCAGCGGGCGTTCGACACTTCACGTGGCCTCAAGGTGCACATGGCCTGGCACAAGCATCGTGGTGACGTCACTGCCACTTAGTGGCGAATGACGGTTGTTGTTGTACATGCAGGTGTGCGTGTGTATGTACAGTAGTGTGTGTTCACACAAGTGTGAGTGTGTGCATATACAGATGTGTGGTGTCTATGCAGGTGTGTGTTTATTTGTAAAGGTAGGTGTATATACATGTGTGTGCGCGTGTTAATGTACAGGTGTGTGTGTGTACATGTTAGCGTGAGTGTAAATATGCAGGTGTGTGTACATATAAGTGTGAGTGTGTGTACATGCAGGTGTGTATATGCAGGTCTGTGTGTATGTACAGGTGTGTCTATGAAGAGGTCTGAGTGTGTATATATACAGGTGTGTGTATGTACAGGTGTGTGTATGTACAGGTGTGTACATGCAGGTTTGAGTGTATATGCAGGTGTGTGTACATGCAGGTGTGAGTGTCTATATATGCAGGTGTTTGTGGGTATATGCAGGTGTTTGTGTGTATATGTGCAGGTGTGTGTGTTTATCCAGGTATGAGTGTACATGTAGGCGTATGTACATGCAGGCGTGACTGTGTGTATATGCAGGTGTGTGTACCAGTTTGTGTGTATGCACACGTGTGTATGTGTATATGTGGGGAGCGGCATTGTAGCAGTTAGCGCGCTGCGCTATGAACCTGGTAAACCGGGTTCGATTCCCGCTGACGGCCAACACCAGTGACAATAATCCGAACCGGTCCTGGGCCTCCCCTAAGTCGACTCAGCCTCAAATGAGCACTTGGTGTGATGTGTAAACATCGCCACAGGGGAGACAAAGGCAGTTGGGCGTGGTGCTGGACACCCATCCCCTCGTGTGCAGTGCCTTCATAGGTGCTCGCTAACAGCACCTGCCTCTACATTATGTTAAGGCTATACGGGTGATCTTTGTATTTGTGTATATGTACAGGTATGATTGTGTATATATGCATGTGTGTGTGTGTACATGCAAGTGTGAGAATATGCAGGTGTGTGTGTACATCCAGGTGCTTGTGTGTATGTACATGTGTGTGTGTGTGTACAGGTGTGCGAGCGTGTGTTTGTATGTTTGTAAGTACACGTGTGTGTACATGCATGTGTGAGTGTATATGCAGGTTTGTGTACATGCAGGTGTGAGTGTCTGTACATGCAGGTGTGTGTGTATATCTACAGGTTTGTGTATATGTACATGCGTGTGTGCATGCAATTGTTAGTGTATATGTACGGGTGTGTGTGCATGCAGGTTTGAGTATATATGTGCAGGTGTGTGTGTGCATGCAGGTGTGAGTGTAAATGTACAGGTGTGTATGTGTGCATGCATGTGTGAGTGTATATGTACAGGTGTGTGTGTGCATGCAGGTGTGAGTGTATATGTACAGGTGTGTGTGCATGCAGGTGTGAGTGTATATGTACAGGTGTGTGTGTGTGTGTGCATGCAGGTGTGAGTGTTTTTGTACAAGTGTGTGTGCATGGAGGTGTGAGTGGTTTTGTACAAGTGTGTGTGCGTGCAGGTGTGAGTGTATATGTACAGGTGTGTGTGTGTTTGCATGCATGTGTGCCTTGGTGTATATGATTGCACTGGGTGAGAGACAAAGGCGGCCGTCAGCGCGTAGCGCTGGCAACCCACCGCACTCACCACACCCTATCCACTCATCCGATCCACCACACCCACTACACCCCACTTAGCGTGCCAGCCACATTTGCTGATGTTGTGCAACGAGCTCCGACAAATATATTCGGACACCACTCGAAACTATTTATATGGGATATGCAAATACGTTTGTGGGAGTGTCTTCCCCTATCCCATTAGTCTCTGGGGCTTATAAAGTCTCCCAGTTCACCACACAGACGCAGTCACCACTCCAGGGATATCGCTCTCTGACTCTTGTCTCGCTGTCTCTCTCAACTCGCCGACTTTCCATCCCAAAGCGCCACAACGCCAGGCTCCACGACTCTAACCATGACTTGCCACCTGCTGGGTCTGCTCCTCGTGGCGATGCTGTTCGTGAGCGGAGGTGAGACAACTTCTGCGTGGCGAGTTGTTTGTTGTTGCAACAACACCAAAGCAACGCCGATACTGCGATATATAGAGATGTTAACTACCTCGCCTGGTGTGCAGGAGGTCGTGGGTTCGATTATGGACTCTGACGATGCCTGCTGTTGTATCGTTGGATTCTGCGTGTCTCTCTCTGTGGAGATGTTAACTACCTCGCCTGGTGTACAGAAGGAGCATGGGTTCGATCACAGACCCTGGCAATGCCTGTTGCTGTATATTTGGAGTCTCTGTGTGTGTGTCTCTCTCTCTCTCTCCGTGGAGATGTTAACTACTTTGACTTGTATACAGGAGGACGTGGGTTCGATCCCTGACTCTGACGATGCCTGCTGCTGTACAAGACCGGACTTGTCATTCTATCAGAAACAGAAAGTACCCAATCTTGATTTGAAGGTTTCGTGACTGCAGGAATCCATACTATTTGGTTATTTCGGTAAAGTCACGTAGGTATAAAATAAAATAAAGCACGACGTTTCGGGCACAACACAAGCGTCCGTCATCAGGTGGGAAAGCATGATCTGTTGCTGAGGCAGCTGCTGAGGCAGTCTCAGCAGCCTCAGCAGCCTCAGTCTGCCCCAGTAGCAGACCATGCTTTCCCACCTGATGAAGGAAGCTTGTGTTGCGCCCGAAATGTCGTGATTTATTTAATACCTACGTGACTTCACCGAAAGAACCAAAGAGTATAGAAGGTACCCAATAAATATCCACAATAAGTAACAACTGTATAGTAAATCTAACGCGTATTATTTATATCGATGTTTCCTTAGTATTTCTAATAGCGACATAGCTATTCGACGTTTTAATGTTTTTGGGTGTTTAGTTTCGGTACTAGGGATGAACGATTAATCGATTTCAAATCGAAATCGCAATTTGAAACAATGCGATTGGGAAATCTCAAAGGCTGCGATTCTTTTGCGATTTGAAAAGTCCATTTACTTTCTTATTGGAATCGTTAAATTGTTTTAATCATTATAACTTTATTTATTTAACTTAACAATTGTTCTCTGTTAGATTTTAATTTAATCATTTTAATAAATACACGTTGAAAGCAATTCATATCTTTTAAGTTCTCATCCTTGCATTAGAATGAATAGAGCAGTCCATATTTTGATGGTATCACGTGGTAATGCTCCATCACATGTTTTAAATCTATTACACAGTGAACATTGAACTGAAGCTTGACTTAAAAATGTTTTCATCGCAAATCAAATCGCAATACATCTGTCAGAAAAATCTCGATTAGATATTTTCCCCAAATCGTCAAGCCCTATTCGGTACACCCTGTGTGTTGGAAGCGTTTGGTTCTGCGTTTGTACGTTCGCCTTCCCTTTTGAAATTAAGTTTAGGACTTCTCTTTTCGACTTAAAACTTTCGTGACTGCAGGAATTAATATTCTTGGTTCTTTCGATGAAGTCACGTGAATGGAATACAAAATAATAGTAATAAAATTATAAGATGAAATAAAAATAATAAAATAAAAATATTAAATTGAAAATAATGAAAGTAAAAAAAAACCCACGACGTTTCGATTGCAACACAAGCGGTCTTCATCAGGCGGAGAGAAAAGTGGTTGTTGTTGTTGTTGTTGTGGTTGTTGTTGTTGTGGTTGTTGTGTTGTTTTGGATGTTGTGATTGCTGTTGTGATTCTTGTTGTAATCACACCGAGCGGAACATCACGGTGACAGGAATGTATAAAGGCGTGTTGTGGGTTTAACTCTCCAATACACAACAACAGAACAACCGGGTTAGCGCTGTACTAATCAACTACATCGACACGTGTTGTGTGACGTGGCACAAACTTCCCCTTTACTGATTGGCTGTGTCAGGTGGCGGTGGTGGTGGAGGGTTTAACGACACACACTGAGCTGCACACGTAGCTACACACGTAGCCTCAGTGGGGCCTTACCCCTAGTGCAATTAAAAACAAAAATAGTTAGTGAAGTGAAGAGTTCGTTAATATGACAACGCTTGAACTTGCACTCTTTAACGAAAAGAGAAGTTCATATTTTTGGTTATTTCGGTAAATTCACGTAAAAAGAAAAAAAAAAATCTAAAATAAAAATAATAAGATTAAATAAAAATACGTAATTTAAAAGAAAAGAAAAAATGTAAATTGAAAATAATAAATTTAAAATAATGAAAGCAAAAAAACCCACGACGTTTCGATTGCAACACATGCGGTCTTCATCAACTACACCAACAACAACCACAGCAACCAAAACAGCCACAACAGCAACAGCAACAACCACAACAACAACAATCAGCAGCTTCATCAGGCGGCGAGTTGCGAAAATTTGTTCGCGAATGCCACAAAGTGGCGGTGACGGCGGCCTGTGCCAGGCTAGGTGCACTTTGAGGCTATCACGTGAAGTGTCGAAGGCTAGCTGACTGGAAGTCTCGGGTCAGACCCTGCAGGTGCCGTGGGTTGGCTGCCGTGCCAGGCTAGGTGCAGGAGGAGGTCACGTGATAGACCCTGCATGGGCCATGGGTTGACTGCTGTGCCAGGCTAGGTGGAGGTCACGGGACAGACCCAGCAGGTGCAATTGGTTGACTACTGTGTCAGGCAAGGTACATGTGGATGTCACAGACAGCCCCTGCAGGTGCCATGGGTTGACTACTGTGCTAGGCTAGGTGCATGAGGAGGAGGTCACGGGGACAGACCCTGCAGGTGCCATGCGTTGACCGACTGAAATGAACAGATTGTTTAGGCAAGCGCCATTAGAGAGTAGCAGCGCCTACAAAGGCCAGCAAGGAAACACGAGGTGGTTGGTGGCCAGCACCACGCCCGGCCACCTTTGTCTCCCCAGTGGCGATGTTTCCTCCACACCACCACTGCACCAGGAACCAAATTGAGGACGAGTCGACCTCGTGGGAGGAGGCCCCAGGGTACCGCTTCAGATGATCGCCACCTGCGGTGTTGGCTGCCGTGAGCAGGAATCAAACTCGGGGGGCCCGGTTTGTAGTGCAGCAGCGTGATGATGATGATGATCGTCTGCCGTGATGATGATGGTGATGATGGTGATCGTCTACCGTGATCATGATTGTCTGCCGTGATGATGATTGTCTGCCGTGATGATGATTGTCTGCCGTGATGATGATGATGATGGTGATCGTCTATCGTGATGATGATGTTCTGCCGTGATGATGATCGCCTGCCGTGATAATGATGGTGATCGTCTGCCGTCATGATGCTGATAATGATCTGCAGTGATGATGATCGTCTGCCGTGATGATGATGATCGTCTGCCGTGATGATCATGATGATTGGTGTTGTTCTTGTGTTTTGTGTCTGTGGATATACAGGGCACAGCCTCAAATGCTACTCGTGCATCACGAACACCAACAATGCTGCGTGCAACGCGGGCGGCCCCACCACGTGTTCCGTCTCATCGCAGGACAACTGCGCGACAATTCTCATCTACCAGGGCTCCAGTAAGCGCGTTGCTTATTCTGGCAAAGCTGGGGATGGGGGTGGACCCCTTGCGTTCAGCAGTGACTCCCAGGCCCATGATGCACTCGCAAGACGCGCGTCCGCCCTCATTATGTGATGAGTCTATGGGTCTCTGTGTGTGATGAGTCTATGGGGTCTCTGTTTGGTAATGAGTCTATGGGGTCTATGTGTGTGATGAGTCTATGGGGTCTATGTGTGTGATGAGTCTATGGGGTATCTATGTGTGATGAGTCTATGGGGTCTCTGTGCTTTGAGTCTATGGAGTATCTGCGTGGCGAGCCTATGGGTCTCTGTGTATGAGGCTTATATAGTTCTCTGTGTGTGTGATGAGTCTAAGGGTCTACGTGTATGATGATTCTATGGGTCTCTGTGTTGTGAGTCTGTGGGTGTCTGTGTGGTGAGTTCATGGTCTATGTGTGTGATGCTTCTGTGGGTCTATGTGTGTGTGATGATTCTAGGGGTCACTGTTTGTAATGAGTCTATGGGTCTCAGTGTGTGATGAGTGTCTGGGGTCTCTGGGTGGTGAGTCAATGGGTCTCTGTGTGTGATGAGTCTATGGGTCTCTGTGTGTTGAGTCAATGGGTCTCTGTGTGATGAGTCTATCGGGTCTCTGTGTCTGATGAGTTTATGGGTTTATTTTCGTGATTAGTTCATGGGTTTCTGCATCCCAATCGGAGACTTTTCCCCAATGTGTTGATATTTCTCTGGGGTCATCCGGTTTTTCCCCCTTCACATTTTTGAATTTGACATCACGGTGTTCCGAGTATTCGGCTGCTGCTTTACATTTTCATGCGATGATAATGGTGATATCAGCCACCATTTGTGGTAGCGGCTTTTTGGCTTGCTGTCGAACAAAGTTGGCCACAGCATCATCACACGGCGCTGTCGGATGCGCTGCTTCTATGGCCATCTGGAACGCTCTTCCTCCAATATCACGAAGCCACTGAGAGCAATGCAATTTTAAATCATCATCAAGATTGACACTCATTTCTTAAAACTACTTTTTGTGTTTAGTTTGTTTTCCTTCCTCGCGCACCTGAGTTAGCACGGTGGACTATGTATGGTGCGAAAGAAGTGCAACATACACACATACATATGTTGAGGCATAAATGATGACTCGGAGGAAGATCTTCGTACAGGGGCTTGCGCCAGTTATTTGATTAAGACCTCTCTTCGCACACGACTCCGTGTACTGCACGCTCACTGCCTACACTCCACACCCCAGGGAAAAGGTACTGGGGATTCCCTAGCACACCCGCAGGCTACCCTAGCCTGGTGCCAATTTCCCCCTACCCCGGGATCTCATTGCTCCCCCGGGGGAAGGGTACTGGGGAGGTCCCTAGCACACCCACAGGCTACCCTAGCCTGGTGCCAATTTCCCCCTACCCCGGGGTCCCATTGCTCCCCTGGGGGAAGGGTACTGGAGAGGTCCCTAGCACACCCGCAGGCTACCCTAGCCTGGTGCCAATTTCCTCCTACCCTGGGGTCCCGACTTCCACCCTTCACGTTCCCGGACTCTCCAGACGACCCTGAACCCGTGACGGGTTCCAGCTTAAATCCCCCAGAGAGGCATGACGTCACCGTCCTGCCCCCTGTGCATGACGTCACCATCCGTGACGTCATCGTACCAGAGGGTGAGCGTGACATGACATCACTAACTCCTACTCTACACATATACAGATATCTACACAACAACAACCGCCATTCGCCACTAAGTGGCAGTGACGTCACCACGACGCTCGTGCCAGGCTATGTGCACCTTGAGGCCACTGCGAAGTGTCGAACGCACGCTGGCAGGAGGTCACGGGGCACAGGTCGACTGACTGAGATGACTGGCTGATGCACCACCTGTGCCCCCTACTGTGCCAACTTGCTGTGTTTTAACCACCTGGCACTCCGCTCATTGTTGTGAGCGTCGCTCCTCTGCCCTCCGTTGTTGTTGGAGGGTGACTGCTTCCAACTGCCCAGTAGCGTCCTTCACGATTCTCCTCCACAGAGCCCGATCTTTACACCGCTGTTACCAGTCATCGGCAAGTCCACTCAGCTCCACATCCTCCTGTACCACGTCACTCCATCTTTTTTCTAGCCCGTTCCACGACCGTTTAGCCCCCTCTATCCGGCCGAACAAAAGCTGATTAGGCATGCGGTGACTGGGCATGTGGGCTACATGACCCAGCCAACGCAGCCTTTCCTGCCGGAGGAGCTCACCGATGCGACTTTGTCCAGATCTTTCAATGATTGGTGAGCTCCTCACACAATCCAGCCTGGTTAAACCAAGGATGGATCGTAAGCAGGCCAGTCTAAATGTTTCCAATCTGCGAAGATGCTCAATTAGGGGGGTCCACGTTTCGCAAGCATAGAGAAGGGATAGAATGACCTTGGCCGAGAAAACTTGAAGCTTCGTGCGGAGCGACAGACCAGGTAGCTTCCACACAGCGTTATGCAACCGATGAAAATGTAATGCCAGTCGAGTGATTCTGGGTGAGACCTCTGCTTTCTCACCGGAGCTGGTCATGAACACACTGCCCAGGTATGGAAAACTCTCCACTCTCTCCACAACTGCCCCATCACTGATTGGAAGTTGTGGGGGTGGAGTGGCCGATGATACAAAATACCCAGGCAGGTGTTTAGTTTTGATGGGGCTGATGGTAAGGCCCCACCTCTTAGTGGCACGCTCCAGTTCCAGAAGAAGCGCCTCCAACTCCTCCTCTGAGTGAGCGGCAATTACCAGATCATCGGCATACGTAACGTGGTTTACCAATAGGGAGCCATCCCTCGACCGCATCTGGGCATCTATCAGCCTCCTATTGTATGGAAATTCCTCTTGTACAGCCATCAAATTCTTCATGAACTACGTGGTCGAACAAATGTTAAATAAAGTGGGAGCCAGAGGACATCCCTGTCGCACCCCAAGGTGAACAGGGAATGACTCCGACACCCAGCCACGTAGTTTAACCCGGGCCCGCTCACCACCATGAAGGTCCTTAATGATCGTGAGCAGAAGGTCAGGGACTCCAAAAGCACGAAGAATAACCCAGAGCCCAGGCCTAATGATGGTGTCATAGGCCTTGACCATGTCAATAAAGCAGAGATGTAGGTCTTGTTGGAATTTCCTACACCTCTGCTGTCGTAAACGGACAGAAAATATGGCATCTTGGCAGGACCGCTCTTTCCTGAAACCACATTGGGGCTCCGCAAGCCTCTCCTCAGCGTGCCTGGCAAATCGATGTTGAATAATCCTTGCCAGGACCTTCTCTGGCACACTGAGGAGTGAGATGCCCCTGTAGTTGTTACAGTCTGTGCGGTCCCCCTTCTTAAAGAGCGGGATCACAAGGGCATCCTTTCAATCCTGCGGAACCCGTCTAGTGGTCCAGACTGTTGTAATGTAGGGCAGTCTGTGCACAAACGCCATTTCGCTTGGGAGATCATCTCTGCCCGGTGCCTTTCCAGGTCTCAGACTCTGGATCGCCTTTCTTACTTCCTCAACAGATGGCACCTCAGCCAGCCACTCACAGGGGGTGACTTCTTCCAATATTTGAGGCACTTCAGCCTCAGCAGGGTCATGCCCACTTTGTGTCACGATGTTTTCCATGTCCAGCGATTTCCCCTCCCCCAGGACTTCACAGAAATGCTCAGCAAATCTGCAAACCTGTTCCTGGGGGTTGGAGATTGCATCACAGTTTTTTCCCCTCATCGTGGTAAGAGGTGTGGCGCTGCAGGTTACTTTTTTGATGGAGTTAAATAGGGATTTATGATTGCGGGCCATTGAGGCAGACTCCATTTCCTCAGCAACCCGCGACCACCACCCATTCTTGCAACGCCTCACGGCTCTCCGAACTTCCGAGTGAAGGCTGCGGTAAGCCTCCTCATTCTCTGACGTTGGATTCTGTAGACGATTAGATTGGGCCTGTCGCTTTTTCTCAACCATCCTGAACACCTCCTCTGTCAGCCAGGGTCTCTGGGGACGTCTGGATCGCGTACCAAAAGCATCCATTGCAGCTGCATGTGTCACAGCCCTAAACATCGCCCATTTACCCTCGACATCAGAAGGAGTAGGGGATGATGCCAACCCCAGCCGCAAGCAATGATAAAATTCTCGCTTGCAACTTTAATTAGCTAGCTGAGACCAGGCCACCTCGGTTGGAATGGGGTCCTGGGTGTACACCCACCACCGGAGTGGAAGAATGGCAGGCGCATTTTACAGATGACAAGTCGATGGTCAGAGGGCAGTTCAGCTTCATGGTAGGTCCTGGTATCAAGGACATGGGCTTGCATCCGCTGTTCCGTCACTATGTAGTCCAGCAGATGTTCTTGCTTGGACCCGGCATGCATCCATGATGTTGTGTAAATGCGCCGATGCCGGAACAGCGTGTTGGTAATTACAAGTCCATGGGCTGCAAAAAAAATCTAGCAGCCTCCTACCGTTGTTATTGAGCTGATCTGGCCCATGCCTTCCAATCCCTCCAGACCAGGTGCCAGCATCATGACCAACTCGGGCATTGAAGTCACCCACCAAGACGACTCTATCGTGAGGGGCCACTTTAGCCAGCACCTGTGACAGGAGGTCATAGAAGGCATCTGACTCATTGGCCTTGCCTGCATCCCTCCACGGATGTTAGTCTTTGGTGGGGGCATAAGTAACCACGACCACCACTCCTCGCCTCCAGTTGATGTGAAGGCGCGCCCAAAGTAGCCTGGGGCTTACAGCTTCCCACACCTCACAGCCACACTCCCATGCCCCCTTCATTATGTTCGAAAGAAAAGTCACACCCTGTTGTTTGGCAGTCTCTTGCCCCGAGTAGAGGACTGTCCACCCCTCATGGTGGCAGGATTGAGAGCCGGTCCACCGGACCTCCTGAATACCACAGAGATCCAGGTGGTACCGGTCCAGCTCCCGACAGAGGAATGGCAGCCTCTCCTCCGCAGTGAGCGTTCGAACATTGGCCATCCGTAGTGGGTTTTCGTTGTTTCTGGAGGAGCCCGGAGGACAAAGATTAAATCTCCTGGCTCCGCCAGATGGGGTTTAGTCAGGAGACGTCATAGATGCCTGTCCCCCCGGGGCCTCCAGCACAAGCTTATTAATTAGATATTTTAGACGTGGTTTAGTGGTAATTTATTGAAGGTGGAGGGGTTACCAGCCCATTCCACCCGTCCTGAGCCCCCATTTAGCCGCTATGGTGGCTACAAACGCCCTGAGGGGAAAGGCCAATGGGAATTGGCCCTCCCCCCATGGCACTGCCCATGACAGCGTTGCCCGTCCCGCACCACAAGGAGGTAGGGAGTTGTTTTGCCAGACGACATCTACACACACCCAGAGAGACCTACAGAGACCCACAGATTAACACGGATGGCTACATGCGGTGCGAAAAAAGTTCAACATACCTATAAAGAATCCCACAAACACTCATAACAGACTCATAGACACCCACAGATCAGCACGGTTGGCTACGTACGGCACGAAAGAAGTTCAACACACACGTAAAGGTAACTTCTGAAAAAGGGCTACATGGCAGCTCTGCTGGGCTTACAACTGGTAAAATAACAATTACAAATATATTTTTTACGTGTTTTAAATTACATATATATTGTTTTACTTACAATGAGACCCACGTGCTTTCTCGTCCGCCCAGACTACGCCGTCACAAAGCAGTGCATGAGCAAGGCCGAATGCGACGTGGCCAAGAAACTCGACGGCACCACCAACGGAGTCACGCTGCTCACCACGTGCTGCCAGAGCGACGGCTGCAACGTCAACGCCGCCCCTCGCCCGCTGGGCGCAGCTCACGTGACCCTGGCCCTGCTGGGCGTGGCCATCAGCGTCGTGGTCAGCAGGGCTATGGTGTAGGTCGTGACGTCACAGCCGCCTACCCCCAACGTGCCTTGGTTCGGTCCAATCACTTTTCCCCTTCCACTCGGTTGACTCACGACGCTTCCACCAGTGGAGCTGTGCAACGTTAAATCGTCTACATTGTTGTGTTATGCTGCTAAAGAAGCTCAAAGTACGTATGTACATACATACATACATAGAGACAAGTAGACTCATCACGCAGAGACCCATAGACTCACTACATAGAGACCCATAGACTGATCACACAGGGACACATAGACTCATCACACAGAGACCCATAGACTCATCACATAGATACCCAAGTGCGGAATGATATACCATCATTTACAGAGATCCCATATGGCAGAAGAGAATGGAAAGGTCTTTAACCTGGACTTGGAACAGGTCACGCGGGGTGTTCAGAGAGTGTGCAGATGATTAGGGGGTGAAAGGAAGTCCTATAATCAAGGGTGGGGTGGTGGGTTGGGTAGTAGATTTGCGTGACCCTGACCAATGGCCTGTACAAGGTACCGCTCAATTTAGCGAATGGCATTCGTTTCTCAAACATCTAAAAAACAGACTCACGAGCGTAACTAAATTTGTCATTCGCAACGGCTTTACCCATTTGGTTTAATACTAAAACTTCGGGGGGGGGTGTATCGGACAGTCATTCCAAATCGAAAAAAGTATATATTGCAATACATCTTTGTCACTTCTGAGGATGCAAAAAAGTGTAATAACATTATTAAAGAACGTGAATATGAAAACGATTAAATAATGCACTTGAAAAAACTGGTAATAAAAACAAATTGCTGCATGCTGGAATGACTGGAGAGGGTGATGTGGAGACGTTACCGTTGCACTGTATAGGGACACCATAATACTGCTGCGGATTGGAATCTTGATTTAGACGGGAGGAGGAAATCTGATGACCTACGAAGCTCGATGGGCGAGTGCCGTAGGAAATTCGATTATGCAGAAATTCGATTTCGTTGATTGTGCCACGGTGGCTAGGGAGCTGTTAATTTCCTTGCCTGGTCTACAGGAGGTCGTAAGTTCAATCCCTACCCTGACGATGCCTGCTGCTGTATTTGGAGTTTGCATATCTCTCTCTCCGTGTTCCTTCGATTTTTCATTTAGAATCAACGTCACCACACATTCAGGGCTATTTGCCTGCTCATAGAATTTTCAACGTGATGACAATGATAATGATATCATGCCACTTGGTTGAGCTGCCAGGTCTCTTCTGAAAGAGAGCTACACCAGCTCAGTAGTGGTGCCTTACACCTGCTTAAAATCTCTATATATTAAAGGGAAATTTGTGAATGTGTGTGACTTTTCGAAATGTTTAGCATACTTCCTGACATGCAACAAACTTGAAATTTGGCACGTGGGTAGCTTCCAGACTGTACACAATGCAGAAAAAAAATAAAACAATAGACTATTGTATTTTGGGGGGGGGGGGGGGCGCGCAATAATGCATGTAATAATTGCACGGCAAGTGAGCGGTGACGTCACATCTGTGATGTTACCCGCATATGGCAGCGTTTCTCAGTGTGCCTGCTAACGTCACGCATCCTCCCCCCCCCCAAACCCTCCGCGTAGGCCCTGTGTCCCGCACAATTTTTTCTAAGTCAACGCGACTATTTTCAGCTCTCTCTCTCTCTTAAATACGAAGCAGAAAATCGATCGGTTTGTGTGTGAAGCAGCAAAAACTCTCGAAACATTGAGGTCTGACGTCATGAAATTTGCACAGCTCATGCTGTTTGGAATTTCTAAGGGAACGCGACAATTTTCAGCTCGCCAGGTCATTCCCTTCACGAGCTTCCTAAATCGACCTTACGTATACATGGGTTACGGATGAATTTCCTCGAGCGAAAAACATCCGATTTAGTTAAATTGAATTGTTTCGGCTTTATTCTTTCTTGCAAGCATCAACTTTTTTCAGGGTTTATCAGTGAAATAGAAGGGAATATGAAATGAATCCTAGACAAGAGTTTCCTAAATCGACCTTACGTATACATGGGTTACGGATGAATTTCCTTGAGCAAAAAAAAACATCCGATTTAGTTAAATTTAATTGTTTCGGCTTCATTCTTTCTTGGAAGCATCAACTTTTTTCAGGGTTTATCAGTGAAATAGAAGGGAATATGAAATGAATCCTAGACAAGAATCCAAGTCCCGGGCGAAGACGGGTAGTAAAGCTTGTATTAAATTGATGGTTTAGTTTTACACGCAAAACAAAAAAAGCGTCTGTCATTTGTAAATCGCGTTCACTTGAAACTTCGTAAACCGAAACGTTCGTGGATCGAGGGATATCGCCTGTGCCTGATTAAAATGCATACACCTGGCGTTCGATGATCTCTCACACAACACACAATTGTCAAAAAAATGCATGCAGTATGTTACTTAGAAGGTAGGCGACTTTTAATTATTTGTACTTTTTGAAGTTAAATTCATCTTGCTCGAGTTTGCAACTTTGCGTGTTATTTCACGGTGATGAATTTTTTGCCAACGACAAACCTTGTAACCAGTGGTTGAAATCGTTCAGAATCAGATTATTTATTTAGGTTGGAGTTGTAAATTCGATGAGCTATAAATGTGTTTTTCACAGACGTCCAGTCAGGGCATGGGGGTCAGATCGTTACAACAACAACAACAACAAACACAATAAGCACACGATAGTAGTGCAAAGTATAGGAAAGGTAAACAAATCACTTACAAAAATACAAAAAAACCGACTGTGTCGAATGGTCGGACAAGAGGCGCTATGAGTGCTGCCATACGTTCTGGATGATGATGTGCTCGCCACTTACACCTCCCTTCCCGTTGCTCAGCAAGACCACGCTACAGGCAGCCTTCGATGCTTTGGGGGAAATCTACTCACCTGCCGAGGGAGCCTTAAGACGGTTTCAGGACCACTAGCAGGGGGCTAAAGAGTTCAACTCTAGCCTACGGGGATGCGCTGCTGGTGTTGGCAAGGAGGGCCTTACCTCGCCTGGCCGATGAGGCACTCGAGAACCTCGTGGTCGAGCACCTCGTAGCCTACGCTTGCAGAGCCGGCGTTGTTATGCCGGTGGTGACGTCCGACGAGGGCATCTCACTGTGGGCCGCCTGGATCCTGCAGGCCCGTAAACAGGTCATGGGTTGGGCGCGACCGGTGGGCCAGGTGGTGGGCACCGAAGGAGGGAGCAGTCAGCCCATTACCACGGTGCTACCAGGGCCAGCGACAGAAACCGCCGGTCCTGAACCACCGCCCGCGTGCTGTCTACGCGGCAGCTCAGGACGCACCTCCAGCAGCTGAGTCGGAGCTGGGGCCGGGGGTGGCATCGGGGCCCGGTGTTGACTTCGCCACGGGAGGTAACGCCGCTGTTTATCGGTGACGCCGGCAGGTTGCAAGGGCCAATGGCACCCTTGGCGGCGGTAGCGCACACGCACACTGGCGCGCCGCAGAGCTTTCTCGCGCCATGCCTCGCCCTCGCAATGCGGCGGAGCGAGACGTGGCCTGAAAAGGGCAGGTGGGGACAGGTGGGGCATGTGGGGTGGGTGGGGGAGTGGGGCACCCTCACCCTGCACCACAATAGGGGGGCCCACAACACACCACATGGGGGACCCACCCCACATTACATGGGGGGCTCACCCCACATCACATGGGGGGCCCACCCCACATCACATGGGGGGGCCCGGCCCACCCTGCACCAGGGAACGCATCTCTATTTCCTGAAGGCAGAAGGAGCCGGCCGGGGGGTACCGTACTGTATGTGCAGGCTCTGGTCAGTGAGTCTATCTCTATTCCCACGGCAGCCCAGATGCTGAGACCGCTGCGATATCGGTCCCCCATCGTGACGGTCCCAGCCGGACTCACCCGTCCTGGTGTCTCCGGCGCACTGGTGGGGGCCGAGACGATTGTCCAGGGGTATCAGCACCTGTTCGTTCAAGCGCTGAACACCTCGGACAGGGCAACCGACAATGCGGGCGGGAACGGTTCTGACCCACGTGGCCCACGTCAATGCCTTGTCAATGGGAGTCCCTGGGACAGGGCCAGAGCTCGGGGCCATGCCCGGGGACGCAACGCATCTGCTGCAGCACAACATCAGCAAGGGGGGGTTGCCGCTCCCCTGCACCAAAACACACACATGGGATGAGCCCGATGGAAAAAGGCCACAAGCAGCAAGCGGTGAAGGAGATGCTGCGGGCCGACATCATTTTCCCTTCGTCAAGTCCATGGCAGGCTCCGGTGGTCCTCGTAAAAAAATAAAAAGTCAGATGAGTCACTGAGAATCTGCGTAGATTTCCGCCGTGTAAGCACCGTTACGCTTGCTGACACATATCCCCTACTCCGTGTAGATTAGGCACTTGATGCACTGGCGGAAGCAAAATTATTCAGTACATTGGATGGATTTATTGTCTGGTTTCTGGAAGATCCCAATGGACGTGGACTCTCAGCCCATAGGGACTGTTGAAATTAAACTGCCTTCCTATGGCCCTTCAGACTGCATCGGCAATGTTCCAGTCCAAAATTGAGGTAGCCTTAGCAGGCCTACAGTGGTATACATGCCTGTTTTACGTAGACAATGTCAATGTCTTCAGCCGGTCCTTCGACTAACACATTGGCCGATTGCGTCAGTTATTCATAGGGTTCCGTAACACAAACTTGAAGCTCAAGCCATTGAAGTCAATGAGTCAATGAAGTCTCTACTTGATGAGTCTATGGGTCTCTATGTTGTGAGTCTATTGGTCTCTTGTGGTGACTCTAATGGTCTCTGCAAAATGTTTTTTTATGGGGTCTCTGCGTGATAAATCTATGGGTCTCTGTGTGATGGAGGGACGTGCGGTCAGGGGAGGCAAAGGAGGCAGAGCCTCACCTGTCATACTCCAATGAAAATATCTGTTACGAAAAGTAAAAAACATAGAATAAGTAAATAAAATAAATATTAAGATTTTTCCACTGATCTGTGTTATAAATGTCATTTCGGTACGATTCCAATCATTTTCATAGTCAAAATCGTCAAATTTGCGGAGCTCCACTGCAATACAGGAAGAGACGAGAGGTGAGGCAGTGACACGCTCAGCCTCCCCCCTGATTGCGCAACCCCTCAGTAACGGGATGGAGCGCGGGCAATAAGCGTGTGTCTGTTACTATCTCATGTCCTCGCCTTCCATTTAGGCTCGCTGGTCTCATCATTAAACTGCAATGAAAAAGCACCAGGGGAGGCAGCTATCACATCTGCCTCACTGAGGGGGGCGTGTTAGACACGTCCCCCTCAGTGAGGCCACGCCCCCTCTGTGAGGCCACGCCCCCTTCAGTGTGTGAATCTGGCTCTGACACTAGCCAGTGTCTCCCCAGCCATTGACCTCACCGCACGTCACTGGTGCATGCGTCTATTGGTCTCTGTGTGATGAGTCTCTGTGTGATGATTCTGTGGGTCTCTGCGTGATGAGACTACAGGTACTTGCGTGATGAGACGAGGGGTCTCTGCATGATGAGTCAATGCAGTCTGTGTGTGATGAGTCTATGGGTCTCTGTTTTGTGAGTCTATGGGTCTCGATATAGTGAGTTTATGGTTGTCTGCGAGATTAGTCTATGGGGTCTCGGTGTGGTGAGTCTACATCTGTCTGTGTGGTGAGTCTATTTATATCTGTGTGGTGAATCTATGGGTCTCTGTGTGATGAGTCTATGGGGCTCTGTATGATGAGTCTATGTGTCTGTGTGGAGGCGGTAGTGTAGTGGTTAGCGCTACGCTGTGCTACAAACCCGGCGACCCGAGTACGATTCCTGCTCAAGGCCAATATCAGCGGCGATTATCTGAACCGGTCCTGAGCCTCCCCCTAGATCGACTCAGCCTCACATTAGTACCTGGTGCGGTGTGTAAACATCGCCACTAGGGAAACAAAGGCGGCCAGGCGTGGTGTTGTCCAGCCACCCCCTCGTGTGCCGTTCCGGCCTTCATAGGTGGTACTACTCGCTAACAGCACTTGCCCCAATAGTCTGTTAAGGCTACACGGGGGGGTCTTTGTCTTTGGTCAGTTTATCGGGCTCTAAGTGTGTGTGTGTATGTCGAGCTACTTTCGCACCACCATACGTAGCCAACCCTTGTTTTAAAGAACAGGTTCAGAGAGAATGTTAACATTCGACACTGATAGGACACCCGAGAATGCAATCGAACCCCGGATCACACACACCCTTGTGACGTCACACCCACCTTCACTTCCCAGCAGAACACGGCCACCCACGTCGCTTTGTCAACAACAACAACAAAAGCTTCGAGATTATTAGCATGATAAGTCCACCCCCTCGCCTCGTATGCACGCGTGTGCGAGTGTGT